ATAAGTTAGCATACAAAATACACTATTTTATATTGAACTGAACACTTAGTCATCTTGGTCATCTTCTGTCTCAGTCTGAATATAAATTGCTCAGCCTATCCTCCTCCCCATACTTGTCCCTATATCATCTCTCTTCCTGAGAAATATGTGATTTTAGCCTCCCTGAGGCTACAGGGTCAGACTGAGGCAACTCTAGAATGACAAAGGCTTATTCCGCTACAAATTGAATTCTAGTATGGGGTGACCCTGAGGGTCCAAATTTGGACCCTGTACATTATAAAGCCAGTCTGAATTTCTTTTTCTTTTTAAATTTTTTTGAGATGGAGGCTTGCTCTGTCGCCCAGGCTGGAGTGCAGTGGTATGATCTCGGTTCACTGCAACCTCCACCGGGATTCTCCTGCCTCAGCCTCTCCGAGTAGCTGGGACTACAGGCTCATGCCACCACGCCCAGCTAATTTTCGTATTTTTAGAAGAGACGAGATTTCACTATGTTGGCCAGGCTGGTCTTGAACTTCTGACCTTGTGATCCACCTACCTCAGCCTCCCAAAGTGCTGGGATTACAGGTGTGAGCCAGCATGCCTGGCCACCACTCTGAATTTCTGAATCAAGCATGAAATTATTCTAATCTCCTTGGTAGCCCTCCAGATGAAGACTGATTAGACTGCACTAAGAAACAAGACCTATGGTGAGTGACATCCAGTATCCCTCACCACACTCAGCACAGATTTAAGAGTCAATATAATAAGTAAACATTCATTTTAATGAATCCTAGAAAAATCCCTTTTCTGGCCAGGCACGGTGGCTCACACCTGTAATTCCAGCAATTTGGGAGAGCGAGGCAGGCAGATCATGAGGTCAAGAAATTGAGACCATCCTGGTCAACATAGTAAAACCCCATCTTTACTAAAATACAAAAATTAGCTGGGCGTAGTGGCGCGCGCCTGTAGTCCCAGCTACTTGGGAGGCTGAGGCAGAATTGCTTGAACCCAGGAGGCAGAGGTTGCAGTGAGCGGAGATTGGCCACTGCACTCCAGCCTAGCAATAGAGCAAGACTCTGTCTCAAAAGAAAAATCTCTTTTCTGAAAGCAAGGACTTGCGTCTTACAACAGCAATAATTTGGTAGTTACAGTTTTTAAGCACATGTATCTAGGCCTAGAGTACCTAAGACTATAAAGCTAAGGATACCAATATAGGTGCTAATAGTCAAACTTAATAAATAAAAGTTTTAAAGTACTAGATCACATAGAATTATTAACAAATATTCCTGGCCTTACAATGTGTATACGCAAATGAAACAGAAATGCCTTTGTGAGCAAACACGTGCTTTCAAGGGTTCTACAATCAGATTAATACCTTGCTCATTAAGGACTCTAGGACACCACGTGCATACACACCAAATCTTAATTTAGTCACTGAAATTTAGCCTGCATCAGTTTCCAAGGCTTTCACCAGAGTTGGTCTAACCTTTGAGATACTTCTTATCCCAGTCTAATTCAAGTATTATTAATAGGCTCCCTGGAGCTTGTTATCTTTGACTCAAGCACCTCGTGGTCTCAGCAAAGGCTGCCAAGAAAGAAGGTCTCTAAGTCAAAAGAAACAGAAAGGCACCACAAGCTGCAATGCAAATTATCTACTGTGTCGCTGTAGGAGGTGAAGAAAAATTGTCCCCCAGTATTATCTGGGGGCTTCTTCTAACAAGCCAAGACAATAATCCACAGTTGGTCAAGTGCCCATGGCCAAAACAGAGAAAAGAAGCAATTATCCAGATAATTTATATCATGCTTGTATAAAAGATGGACATTTTAAATAAATAATTCAGATAATTGTACCACTCACTCTCCATTTCACAGGTGAATCGGTTGTAGAGTAGGTGGTTCAGCTACCAGCAGCTCCAGTCTCACATTTGAAAATAGATCGGCCAGGCACGGTGGCTCATGCCTGTAATCCCAGCACTTCGGGAGGCCGAGGCAGGCAGATCATTTGAGGCCGGGAGTTTGAGACCAGCCTGGCCAACATGGCAAAACCACATCTCTACTGAAAATATAAAAAATAGCCAGGCATGGTGGTGGACAACTGTAGTCCCAGCTACTTGGGAGGCTGAGGCACAAGAAGCACTTAAACTTGGGAAATGGAGGTTGCAGTGAGCCGAGATTATACCACTGTACTCCAGCCTGGGGGACAGAGTAAGACTGACTCACAACCAAAACAAAAGAAAACAAACAAAACAAAAAAACTTCTCAAAGTCATGGAGAAACATATTGTAACTCTTTGGAAACCGACTTGCAATATTTTGAAACCAATAAAGGCCCATTGTCTTGATTCAAAGATATAGTTTCTCAACAGAAGATCTTAAATCTTTAAGCAGCTTAATTTTTAGCTGAATTTGTCTAGGCTTAAGTATACCTGTTCACTTCAACTCCTTGTCAGTCCTATAAGTGGAAACGAATGCTTATAGTGTGTTTACAGATGCTAAAAGAAAAATCCATAGCTGTCATCACCTTCTCTTATTTCAAGAAATTACTAGGCCAGGCATGGTAGCTCACACCTATAATCCCAGCACTTTGGGAGGCCGAGGTGGGCAGATCACCTGAGGTCAGGATCACCTGAGGTCAGGAGCTAGTCAGAGCCTCACTAACAAGGTGAAACCCTGTCTCTATTAAGAATACAAAAATTAGCTGGGTGTGGTAGGGCACACCTGCAATCCCAGCTACTCAGGAGCCTGAGGCAGGAGAATCACTTGAACCTGGGAGACGGAGGTTGCAGTGAGCCGAGATCATGCCACTGCACTTCAGCCTGGGGGACAGAGTAAGACTTCATCTCAAAAATAAATAAATAAATAAAAATATTACTGACTGTGAAGAGCATATAATTGAGAGAGGTTGCACTTCACGATCTGGGGTGATAGTAAGAGAGAAGGAAAAGAACCAAGGTGGTTAGTCTTGAGAGAAGGCCTCAGAAAAATGGTTATCTGGTATGGAAAGGAGATCTACCACGAGTGACCTCAAAGAAGGTGCTTTTCTCACAGTGATGGTAAAACGTGCATGATAAGAACCAAACTCAGCTAGCAGCATCACCTTAAAAGAAACAAGGCTACAGAGTTACACTAAGAAAACCATGCTTTGATAGAAGTGATTCAAAAAAGGAACACATGGACTAGAAAGCTGGATTGTATTTCTTTATCCTCCATAAACCCATGAAATGATTTCTTTCAGAATCCAGATCTCGATTGCCTTTATATCCCAAATACATCTGAAAAATAAGAATTCAGCCGGTGCAGTGGCTCATGTCTATAATCTCAGCACTTCGGGAGGCCAAGGCGGACATGATTGTCTGAGGTTGAGAGTTCAAAACCAGCCTAGCTAACACGGTGAAACCCTGTTTCTACTAAAATAACAAAAATTAGCTGGGAGTGGCGGCAGGCGCCTGTAATCTCAGCTACTCAAGAAGCTGAGGCAGGAGAATCGCTTGAACCAGGAAGTCAGAGGTTGCAGTGAGCCAAGATCGCGCCATTGTACTCCAGCCTGGGGAACAGAGTGAGACTCCATCTCCAAAAATAAAAAAATAACCTTCCCAAAGAGTTCAGAAATTGAAGGTTTAAAATTTAACGTGGTTCTCTTAGATTTTATCTTATTTTACATTCAGCTCTTTATTAAGTGGGACATAAAGCTCTGGTGATTTAAATCTGAAAAAGCCATGCTTGTGGGCCACTTCTTTATTTTCTAACTTTGCACAAAGAATTTTCCTGAGCTTCAGTTTCCTCATCTGTAAAATGAGAAAAACAACACTACCTGCCACACCTGCTTCAAATGATCACTGCTGAGACTCATAAGAGCATATGAATTCAAACAGCAAAGCACTCTACAAATATTGGTTGCTACCTTAGGTGGTGAAATATTCTGAGCAGAAAAAAAGATGAATACAAAATAGGGTGAAAAAGTTTCTTCTACCTGAGAGAGAAGGGTTGCAAATATAGTGAGAAGTAACTTTCAGCTACTGGCTAAATATATTTAGGGAAGAGGTCTGACATAAAGTTATTACTTAGAAGTGGATTCTCATGCCAACACATCCACTTTGCACAGACGGCAGAAGAAGAAAAATAAGAAAGATTAAGAGTGGGTGTCCGGCTCTCAGCTCACCAAAATAACTGATGAACTTCCATTCGAGGACAGAGGGTGTCGTTAGGCATGACAGTCAGTAGATAGAGAATACTGTTGCATTAGGTGATAGAAGTAAAGGTGTTACCAAGCACAGATCATCCACAATCCATATAGTAAAGCTATGTATAGGGCATGGGATTTCTATAGAGCACTTTAGAAAAAATGAAGAATAGAGAGGCTATTCCATAAGTATCAGACAGAAGTAATTCAATAACTTAGTTCTCCACAGGAAGCTCTCAGGGAGGTAGCACTGCTGAGAAGAAAGTTAAGATACCTCTAACAACGAGGTCGGGGTGTTCTAGGAGCTATAGCTTAGAGGCGACACAAACTGTTTTTGAAGTACTACAAATCAACAAAACGAGAGTGTAGTTTGAGATCTGATTGTCTTTACGCAGTATAAGGCTTCACTCTCTAAGTGATCTAAGATAGTCTATAATGGGAACACACAAGAGAACTGAATTTTCTGAAAGGGCAACAGATGACACTGTGCCTATGAATGACACGGTGTGCAAGCACGCCAACCAGACATAAGTGAAGATAATCTATAGGGATAGAGGCACGGACAAAATCATCGGTAACCATGACAACACAAGTAGGTGGAGGGAAATACAAACACTGACCAGGCAGCCGGGTGACACTATTCCTAAAGGTAGAGACCCTGGGGTGGGAAAAAGACTTGATTAGTGGAGAAAGCTGGCCAAGATGAAACCGACTAGCCCAAAAGGGCAGCGTCCGTGCAGGAAGACTCGGCGGCAACACTGATACTCCCCATGAGACGGCTCGCAGGGTCAAAGGCTCATCTGTAGGAGGCTGGACGCCTCTAAGATCGAGACAGGAGTTACCTGGTGCAGGGCTGTCAAGCCGTCGACGTTGACAGTGTTGATATCGGCACCTCTTGCCAGAAGCTTTTTCACCTCGTCGGTGTCCCCGCTAGAGCAGGCGGCCAGGAAGACAGCACCGTCTTCGAAGCGGACCCTGGGGCTCCCGCGCCTGGTCAGCGGCTGCCGCCCCGTGCCTCGTCGCTCCGCAGGCTCCTGCTCTGTCAGTGAGCCCCGCCAGCGCCGAAGCTGCTCTGCCCGCCGCATTCGCGCCGACTCTGCCCGCTTCCCTCCTATATGCTCCAGCTCCGCCATTGCTCCGGCCTCGGCTGCTGCTGCAGAAACTACCAACACTAAATTACTGTTGAGGCTCGGGTTGCCGCTGCCACCTCCCTCAGAGCGCTTCAGCCGGGAGCAGAGGGCGGAGACCCACGCGCCGCCATCTTTACTCCTCCCGCCACTAGCACCGCCCGCACGCTCCCTAGGCTTCAATACGCAGGCACTGCCCGGGCTCGGGTCATCACGGGACTTGTAGTAAGAGGCCTGCCCTAAGGGTAATTGATGGTGGTAAGGGAACTACAAATCCCTGGATGCTTCAGAAAAGAGGCGAGGACCGGCGGCTCTCTCTTTAGCAACCGGACCCAGCGGGGTCACCTTTGCCCTAAAGCTGGGACTGTCTCCTGGACTGGCGTCAGCCTCTTCCTTTAGGCATTTTGGGAGTTGTAGTTTATTCTTGTTATGACTAGTAACTAATCTTAGCTCCCTAATTATCTCATCAATCCCTTGGAGCGGAAAAGGGGCGGTAATTATGCCTATTTTCTGGAGGGGAGAACTAAACATTAAGTACCTAAACGACTGGAATCTATGTCCTAGTTCTAATTCTAGAGTGTTATTAACATGTGTATTAATCACAGTAAATGTGAATGTGCATGGGGAGGAGGAGCATACATACACAGTATTACATGTTTTACATAAATACTATCAGCATGGACACTTATTTTAGGCCCAGAAAAGATCTTGAAAATGATGCATTCAGAAGTAGTGAAAAGAGCTTAAGCTTTGAATTTAAATTGAATTCACAGCCGTAGACAAATCACTTGACTTCTCTGAGCCACTTTTCTTACGTGTAAGTGAGAATAATATCTCACAGGGTAGTCGTGTGGATCAAATGAAATAATACATGCAAGGATGCCTAGTACTATCTTTGGCATATATTGGATCCCAATAAATGATTTCTCTTACCTCTCCCTCCTCCTCTTCTACTCTTTTCATATATCTTAAATTCCTACAAGACAAATGTGTTGTCTTCCATGATTTTTATTAAATTTCTTTTCTTCGGAGATAGTCTCAGTCTCACTCAGGCTGAGTGCAATGGCACATCATGGCTCACTGCATACTCAACCTCCTGAGCTCAAGCAATCCTCCCACCTCAGCCTCCCGAGTAGCTAGGACTACAGGTGTCCACCCCCACACCTATTATTTTTTAATTTTTTTTTTGTAGAGTCAGGGTCTCGCCATGCTGCCCACACTGGTCTGGAACTCCTGGACACAAGCAATCCTCCTGCCTCAACCTCTCAAAGTGGTGGGATTACAGCCCTAAGCCACTGTACCTGGCCCATGATATTTTTTTTCAAAGCTAGAGAAAGATACTATCAAGCATACTAAATTCCTAAAGTAGCAAATAGGACATTTTTATATTCACCAAGACTGGGTTATAAAACATATATCTGTCTGATTGTTTTGTTTAAGACAGGGTCTTACTCTATTACCCAGGGTGGGGGGCAGTGGCATGCTCATGGATCACTGCAGCCTCAACCTCACAGGCTCGAGCCATCCTCCCACCTCAGCCCCAAGTAACTGGGACTGCAGGCCTGCGCCACTACACCTGGCTAACTTTTGTTTTTTTTTTTATAGAGACAGTTTCACCATGTTGCCCAGGATAGTCTTGAGCTCCTGGGCTCAAGAGATCTACCCACCTCAGTCTCCCAAAGTGTTGGGATTACAGGCATGAGCCACTGCATCCAGCCAGTCGGACTGATTTAATAACTATAACCTCCAGTGCACTAGCCCTGAACATAATATAATTAAATGTGTTCCCAAAATGAAAGAGTACCTATACAATTATTATTTAAACTTTTCTATATGTTTAAAATTTTTCATTAAAAAATGTTTCAAAATGATTGGGGTATTGTAAAGGGGAACTTTATATTATATTCTGCCATGTGAAAGTTTGCCTGTTCCTTAATTTCCCCAGTTTCCCCTGAAATGAAGTGTAAATCACACATTAAGGAAACAATTAATTATTAAATTGAAAGCCTCAAATGAAAAGTGACATATAAATGTAAAAATTATTATGTTTAATAATACTGTGTTGGCTGGGTGTGGTAGCTCACGCCTGTAATCCCAGCACTTTGGGAGGCCATGATGGGTGGATCATGATGTCAGGAGATCAAGACCATCCTGGCCAACACAGTGAAAATCCATCTCTACTAAAATACAAAAAAACAAAATTAGCTGGGCATGGCGGCAAACGCTTGTAGTCCCAACTACTGGGGAGGCTGAGGCAGGGAAATCGCTTGAACCTGGGAAGCGGAGGTTGCAGTGAGACGAGATCGTACCACTGCACTCCAGCCTGGCGACAGAGCAAGACTCCGTATCAATAAAATAATAATAATAATAATAATACTGTGTCTACTTGCTATATGATTTAGTTGGGTATTCTTAAATACATTATAAATACTAATTAAGCCTCATGTCACATCTGTGTGATATGAATAACAATGTACAAAAAGATAATTAAGGTATAATAATGTATACATTATATAACCTCATTTTCCTTACCACATGCATTTATTTATGGTCACCATAGAACTTGTCATGTCTCATCATTTACTGCTATTAAAAATTTTTGGCCAGACGTGGTGGCTTATGCCTGTAATCCCAGCACTTTGGGAGGCCAAAGTGGGCAGATCACTTGAGGTCAGGAGTTTGAGACCAGCCTGGCCAACATGGTGAAACCCCACCTCTACCAAAAATACAAAAATTAGCTAGGCATAGTGATGGGTGCCTGTAATCTCAACTACGGGGGAGGCTGAGGCAGGACAATTGCTTGAGCCCAGGAGGCAGAGATTGCAATGAGCCAAGATCATGCTACTGCATTTCAGCCTGGGTGACACAGCAAGACTCTGTCTAAAAAAAAAAAAAAAAAAAAAAAAAAAAAAATTAATAATAATATATATGTATATATATATATATATAAAATTCATGAGAGTTACTTTGTAACAGGTCTCAATGCGACCTCCTCTTATTCCAATTCAGCCTCTTGCTGATAATTAATACTGCCCACAAGCTCCCAAATAGAACTCTCCCTAAAGAATGAAAGAAAAATTGGTATTAAATCAAATAGGTAAGAATACTCATAGATCATTTCAATATTATGTTTCTAGTATATGATAGCTGCTCA